AGAGGGGACAGAAGGTGTGCTTTATGCACATCGTGAGATAGGAAAAAACGAAGACCTTAGCCACAATTTCGATTGTATGCTGGCAATACTAATACACTCCCTTCTACTTGGGCCAAGAATAAATAGGTTTTGATGCTACTGCCTAACAATGAAAGCGACACCAAAACAGTTAAATCTACCTCACTCAGTTGATTGTTTTGGTTCAGCAATCACCTATTACCCACTTCAAAATAAAACAAGACGTTTGCACACACCTCTGTTTTGATGGATCAAGCAAGGGCAAACTGGCAGACTACACTCCCACTTGCCACGCTTGAAGGTGCTCCTCACCCAACCACTGCATCACGTTGTCCTCTTCCCACATGCAACACCCATTGCACATTTGTGGACAAACACTCTAGTGAAGTTGGCATCGTCTTTGCATGTGAGGGAACAATTCCTGTCTAATGCCTTTAGAAGGGCATTAGCATTAATTGCACCTAAACAAAAACCTAAACATGAAGAATCCCCAACGGAAAGTACTAACTTTACCTACTGAAAAAGAAGTGGCAGTTCATTGATTGCCTTGTACATAAGCTGTATCTCTGTATTATCTTGTGATATATGTTTGCTGAGCTAGGGTCATAAAGGGGTGGACTGGAAGACGTTTTACGCATTCAGAATGATTTATGACATTTGGCACAATTTGATCATCATTGTGCATTGTGAATTCCACAGAATTCCAATTCAATATAGGGATGTAGTAAAATACTGGCCTATGTCTTCCACTTCTGCCATGCACTGGATATCGAATGCTTTCTGCAGCAAACTTGGATAAAAGACGTCATGCGGATTGGATCCACCATCTCCTCTGATCATGACGAGAATTGCCGTGACTGTGCCCATATTTGCCCGCTGCCCCCATTTTTCGACGCCCTTCCATTGAATACGTCCATTAACCGATGAGAGACTCGTTTGGGTTGCTCATGTTTCATCAGTAAGCCAAGCAGTGTTTAGTAATTGATGCCTGTCAAATGCATCTTCCACGGTTCTTAGTGTTCTTAACAGAGTACAGGTTAGTAAAATTAGAGCATGTGCTCCAATAAGAGATTACCTCATTAATAATGGTTTGTTCTGGCATGTTAATGTTAAAGCATGTTTTGCTTGCCCTTTTTACTCCACAAGCAGAGGGAAGGCAGCTGAAGCTCCTTCAGGGTCAGAAGATGGTGTGAGTGCAACTGACATTCGTTCGTGGATTAATGCCGCCTAGCAGAGCTAGGCCACCAACTCAAAGGTTGGGGCAGACCTTTACCCACCTACTCCTCGCCCTCATCTAGGTCCGGTAGTATTTCAAACACCAATTCCAGGTATAACCAAGGTGCTTTGCTCTACACGAAGACCACAGCCACAATTTCAATTGCATGCTCGCAATACTAATACACTCTGCTACTTGGGCCAAGAACAAATAGGCTTTGATGCTATTGCCTAACAATGAAAGCGACACCAAAACAGTTGAATCTATCACATTCTACGCCTAAGCATCACCTTCACCACTTTGAGCTCCATGAGATGCTCAAAATTAGTTCTGTTTAAGTGTTCAGTTAAAAATGAGTAGATGTTCGTGAATTTTAAAAGGTTATCAAACACACATTAGGTGGAGATTTTTTAGACTAAGACATAGTTTTCAGGGGATATGGGTAAGGGTGGTGAATTGGTAGTGATCCATTTGAGGCAAATTTACCTGAAGGAAGTGACGAAATTCCGCCCCCACTTTGGTGTAGATGACGAAGCAAACCTTATCTCATCTAATTCAAGACTGAATAAAGCCAAGACTTCCTCATCTTCT